GGTTGAACCTCATTTTACATTGCCTTGCTTGGGCAAAGACTGTCTTGAGATGAGCTGCGTGGTCGGTGTCTGCTCGGGATTTGACGATCATGTCGTCCATGTATACCTCGAGCATGTCGCCGATCTGTTTGTTGAAAACTCTGTTCATCATGCGTTGGTAAGTTGCTCCGGCATTTTTCAGTCTGAAGGGCATTACGTTGTAGTAATAGTTGCCCGAGCTGGTCATGAATGCCGTGCAGTGTTTGTCGCCCAGGGCCATTGGGATTTGGTTATAGCCCGAATAGGCGTCCATGAACGACAAAGTTTTGTAGCCGGCCGAGTTGTCGACCAACATATCTATGTTAGGCAAGGGAAAAGCATCTTTCGGGCAAGCCCGGTTGAGATCAGTATAATCAACGCACATTCTCCATTTTCCATTATTCTTTTTCACGAGTACAACATTTGACAGCCAGGTGGAATACCGGGCTTCAGAAATAAAATTTGCCTCTAGGAGGTCTTTTACAACATTTTCAGCAGCCTCCGTTTTTTCTGGAGACTGTCTATGCCTACATTGTACTACGACCTTAGCGGCTGGATCAATGGCGAGGTGGTGACAGGCGACCTCAGGGTCGAGTCCGGGCATCTCCGCAGCGCTCCGGGCGAAGAGATCAGCATTCTCGCGCAGACAGGCCTTGATTTACTTCCTGGCCAAGTCGGGGAGGTCTTTGCCAATCTTCACTCCCTTGGTCGGGTCTGTGCCGAGGGGAACGAGTTCGAAATCCCTGTCCGGTATTGGTCGGAGTGGGATTTGTTCGCTGCTGGATGGCTCGTCCTGATCGAAGCGGGTGTCCAGGACTATGGAGTCGACCTTTGGTGGAGCTTTCTGGACTTCTTCCTCGGGGGATGCTTTCCTGTCGGGCTCCTGTTTTGTCCTTTTGGTGGGTCTGGTCCCTATGTCGACGGTATCCCGTCCCTTAGAAGCGGAGTTGAAGCACCTACGGGCAGCGGCTAGGTCTCCTTGGATGGTGGCTACCCGTGCCCTCCTGGTGTAGAACTTCATCTTCAGATGGACGGTCGAGGGCACGGCCGTTAGCTCTACCTGTGTCGGTCTCCCCAAGATGCAATTGTACAGAGACGGGCAGTCAATGACGAGGAAACAGACTTTAACTTGTCTCGTAGTCGTTCCTTCGCCAAACGTAACCAGAAGCTCGACATAACCCCAAGGTTTGGAAGTTGAGCCGTTGAAGCCTTGTAGATCTGACCCCACATACGGAGAGAGATGTGAGTCGTCCAGCTGTAGGGTTCGGAACAGCTGGCTGTACATCACGTCGACGGAACTCCCTTCGTCGACCAGGATGCGGTGCACGTCAAAATTGGCCATTCTTGCCCTTATCAGTAAGGGGATGACCGCGTTCGGGGCTCCGCCGGGGAGTTCTTCTAGGTAGAAGGTGATGGGCTCTGACCTTCCCTTCACCCTTTCGAACGTTACTGTTTGCGGGGGAGCCGCGTCGACCAGCTCGTCCAACTTCCTCTTAGCTGAATTGATGGTGAGGTCGTTGAACCCGCCCCCATTAATGACCATGGCGGAGGGAAAGTATTCCCACCTGCTGTGCGTTGTCAGCGGCTCCTGCAGGTGCTCGGGAATGTCGAAATCCTCGGGCCTGGTCACCGAGAAGGCGGTCTGGATAGGCACCAACTCGTCTGATGGTCGGGCGTCTTCTTCTGGCTCCTTGGCTTCATGGGCGTCACGACGAGGAGCGTCGTTTCGCCTGTACTGCGCGAGCCTCCCTCCCTTGATGAGGGTTTCAATGGCCTCCTTGAGGTGGACGCAGTCCTCTGTCAGATGACCATGACTCCTATGGTATTGACAGTATTTATTTTTGTCTGCCCCTGGCTTGGCGGGAGCAGGTCGGGGACGCTTGACGCCGCCGTCCTTGAAGTCTGTACTGGCACACTCCGCCAGAATACGCTCGCGGGAAGCTGTGAGCGGAGTGTACTCGGTGAAACGGTCCGAGGGACCCCTTTGTTCCCGGACTTCCCGGGGTCGGTCTTCTTTCCTTTTCTCCCCGGTACGTCGGGGAGGAGCCTCTTGGCGTGAGCTGCTGCTGTTGTTGGGACCCCGAGTCCTGGAGTCTCGAGCCCTGTTGGCAGCTTCCCTCTCCTCGTAATCCATATATGCTCGAGCTTTATCGAGGAGGGCGTCGAAAGACCTGGGCGGCTCGATTCCCACGGCTTTTCTGAATTCTGTGCCGGGGAGGAGCCCCCTCTCTAGCAGATATCTCTTCATGTGATCCGTGCAGGGGACCTGTATCGCTTCTCGGTTGAAGCGGTTGATGAACTCCCTCAAGGTCTCATCCTGTCTTTGGATGATGGCCTCGAGCGCTGCCTCGGTCTTTGGATGGCGTCGAGAAGCGGTGAAGGAACTGATGAACTGGTTCTTCAGGTTCCGCCACGAGGTGATTGAGCCCGGGGCGAGCCCTTTGTACCAGTCCATGGCCGCCTTCCTGAGAGTCGTGGGGAAAAGACGGCACTTGATGGCCCCCCCGACATTATGATAATGGAGCATGGCCTCGAACCCGTCAATGTGGTCGACCGGGTCCGCAACTCCGTCATACTCCTTCAGATGTGGGGGCTTCTCCATGCCCGGGGGGATGGGTGCATCCATGATGGCCTGCGACAGGGGACCGCGGGGGTCGTCCTCGTCGCTCCTCTCCGGAGACAGAGATGGGGACCTGTAGTATTGTCTGGTACGGTGGTCGTGCAGAGTCTCCCTCGAGCGTGATACTCGTTGGTTGAATGTTACACGCCCGTCCCCGGCGTGTCTCTTGTCGTGCCTCGCCGGGTCGCGACTGGGTTCTCCGGCGGGGATGATGGGATCTCTCTCCAAATATGGTCGCCTCTGCTTTGGCCGGGGAGAAGGGCTTCTGGAGTTTTCCCTGTAGTGTCTCCGCGGGGGAGAAGGGTGTCGGGCTTCAGTCACCCGAGGAGGGGGAGTATGTGGTCTCCGATGCCTCCTCGAGGGTCTTCGCTCGTCTTCAAGCGCCTTTAATCTCTCTCCTTGGGCGAAGATGAGATAGTTCGTTTGGTTAATTGCTGCGAACAACACTTGTGTGGTGGCATCCGCCCCGGGGGGGACGGGGACTTCCTGAAACCGGACGGCTCTGTAGTGGGCGAGGGCCGCCGGGTCGTCCTCGAGTGGTGGTGGGAGCGAGGAGGATGATGCTGTGGCTCCGTCCCTGTGCGAGGAAGTTCCGAGGACGGTTGTTGCAGGAGCGGTGTTATGGCCGGGATTGCCGACGTTGTCGAGATGTCCGTTTTTGTCCGCCGTGCCGTTATTGGTGTCGGCGACACGAACGTTCTGCTCATCGCGAGCTGGATCAGCCATGACAGGTAGTTGAATTTTGAGCTTTGGTCTTTTGAGTTGTTTGTAAGATGGGGAAGCTCGTTCCCCACAGTCGGCGCCACTGATCTGACCTGATCAGAATTGGACCGTCACGGCTGGCTCCGAGCTGAAAGCTTTTTGAACGAGGTGGGGGGGTACCTGCAAGACACTCTGATGCTGAAGTAAGTAGAAGCACGAGCAGGCAATAGTAAGTATAGGTAGAATGATGAATACCTGACCCTCTGGAAACAGAGGGTGTTTATAGCCCCCAGCGTTGGGCCAAGGTTCCTTCCTTGGGTCGGGCAGGTTTGGCCCAATGGAGGAACTGCCAGGTTCTACGTGCGTAGTGGGGACCCGCACGTGGTCCCCTTCCTGGATGTTCTGCGTGAAGTGCGGGCGGACGGAGACGCGGTCTTTTCGGGGTCTCGTTGGGAGTGCAGTGGACTGAGTCTGCCCTAGTTGGGGTGCTCAAGATGATGTCGAGCTGGACAGCAGGATGTCGAGCTGGAGATGTAGAGGTCGAGCAAGTGACCTCAGGGAGCACATCGGGCACGACTGTGACCCTTTGGTCGGCGTGGTCCTCAGCAAGTCCATTTGGATTGGGCCTTAGCAATGCTATTGGGCCTGTCGGGCCCAGTCCAGAACAAGTTCATTTGCAGATGACTCCAGATTTCTAAACTTTTTGAAATCTCTCTTCTCTCTCTTATTCTCTTCATCTCAAATAATTTTTTCTGTTCTGGTTTTCGAGTGACTTCTTGCGCCATCAATGATTGGATTATTTCTAGATTCAACAAGTGGTTTAAGCATCACCTAAAGGTGTAATTCTTCGAACGATTCATTACAGTGCTAGTGATAATCGTAACTTTGAATGAACTGATTTATCCTAGAGATGTCGTCGAAACTCGATTGCTTTGCATAATCATTGGCAGTACGGCGAAATGTTTTAAAGAGAGTGAACCGATCCGCGACTCTACCTGATAATTTTCTCTGTGGCAATTTTTTTTCAAAACTGAAAACAAGATTTTTTTTTACCATACTTATCAACCATATAAGAAATTTAATATTATTACTATTAAAAAAAATTTAATAAGCAATTTGTGCCTACCAGGATTCGAACTCAAGATCTAAACCTTCACCACTAGGCCACGCACGCACACTTAAAAATTCATTTTAAAAAAAATTAACTTTTAATATTTAAAATAAACTTTAATGTTAAGAAGTTAATTTGGAGAAAATATCAGCGAATCAAAATTCTAACATAACCAAATAATACATATCATAAATATGATTAGTTAATAGTGATTAGGTTAGGTAAATTTTGGTTCCATTAACGGTTTGGTTCGGTTATTGAACTGTTTGATAAAGTATGGTTAGGTTCATAAATCAAAGAGAACGGTTCAGTTTTTTTAACAACGGTTCAGTTTGGTTCTATATACATTTCTATGGATTTTTTGAATAGACGTATGATGAGTTACATTGATAGTTTCATATATAACCTTAGTCAAAGACAAATTATCTTATGACGAAAGCTCATACTTTCAGTTTCATCTTCAACCATATAAGTTAGGCTAAAATGTGCAGGAGGTAGTAGAAAGTGTACAACAATGCTCTCAAAGCTCTATGCCTAAGAAAAATATGTTCATGTCTTTGGGCAAGCAGTGGCACCAGTGTTTCTGGTAGCCATTCTTCGTTGGGAAGCAATTGGACATGCTTCCAAGCAAGGCTCTTTCACGACCGCGTCATCTTCAGGCAGTGGGGGAAGCACTCCAAATTTGAACTGCAATTTGAAAATGTCAAAGAACATAGCAATCGTAGCAACCCCATCCTACAAATCTAGACTCTCGAAGAGATTACTCGATATTACCTGACAGCTGTAATCAGTAAAGTTGGGCTCCATTAGTAAAGGAACTCCCATATGATCCTTGAAGAAGGTCTAGATTGAAAATAGAGTCAGAACCAATCATCCACAAACGCAATAGCTTTAAAGCTGGCACAATATTTTAGCTCTTATAGTAACATGAAAATTAAGAGATTGGTCTCAAGTGGTTAATGAGATTTAGTTAATGACGAACCCAAGTTCGAATTCTGACTGAAACAATCATTTGCCAGAATAGCTACCCAATCGAACTCTAGATTACCCTAGTCCCTTCTCTTGAAAACCGGCCGGTTATTAAGATTAAAAAGATAACGTGAAAAGAAAGTGATAGAAGTTTGAAGAAGAATCACTAACCTGTGTTGGAAACTTACAGGTGTTGAGGCATATACCAACACACTTGCTTTCCTCTAGATACTTGCATCTTTCAACAAACACCTAAAACATTTTATGAATATACATCACTCTCAAGAATACAATGATATTATTATTTAGCTATAAAGATCAAACACAGAAAAAGGAATAAGTGATCACCCCGCTATTGCTCGAGCTTCCATCTGGTAGGTCTACAGAATTGACTTTGCAGGGTCCCATGAGCCATTGGCATGTAAGTGCAGTAACCCTTGCTTCAAAACTTAAATGTTTTTAGGATATCTCCAAAAAAGTTTCTCACTAGCTTGTTACATTCAGAGGAACATCATCTTGAAGAGTTGAAAAATGAGACTTAAACTTATCAGACTCACCAACCATTATAGCAGCAACTTTACCTCCTCCTAGAGGAGCTATGAGCATTTTATAGAGCTCCAAAAGGAATGGAGGAAATAAAGACCTCAAAATTCGTACCTGTCACAATCACAACACATCAGAGCTATCTAATTCACTAGAAATTATTAAAATAAAAATCACAGATTTTACCGAGCAATATATGTTGTTAAACTAAGGAGGAAAATAGTTTGAACATGAACATTGTGAAACCATGCTTTTATTAGTGAGAAATCGTAAAGAGAAATGCTATGGTATGTTATAGAAATCAGTGTCTTCGTCTTTGAGCGTGTGTAAGACAGGTTACCGCACATAGCCCAAAATTTATCACAGTTAAACCACACCTAAAAAATGTCTCATAAAATCTTTGTGGCCTAGGTAGAAAGTCTACACAAAGCCTCCAAAAACTTAAGACGACTCGGATAGAGAGATTCTGAAAGAAGAAATTACCGTAGCGTCTATGGTATGGGAATTTGTAGTGCCTTTCATCATTAGACGGTTAGCAACTTCAATTAGTCCATCATATCCAGGTTTCTTTGAGTCCCATCCTACCTCCTATATGTTCAAAACAGCAAAAATGATAATAATAAACAAACAAATAATGCAGCTATGCTATCAAACTAGAGAAAACCAACTGTGTTCATGAGAAGAAACTAGAAGGGATTTCCTTACCTGTACCAATTTGTTGCGGAACAAATTGAGGAACAAATCATCAAAGACTCCGGGTTTGTATTCAATCTTTGGAGCTGCAACTCTCACCTGAATCAATCCACAAAATTGAAGCAAATTTCGCATAGTAGCTTGCAGCAAGAATACGAAAAGAAAAATCAGAAAATACGAACTGCTTTGGGTCCTGATGAAGAAGCTGAAGAGAATGAAACACATAACCGACGGTTACGAATTCCAGTGGAAGAAAGGTTTGGGACAGCAACAATAATACCTAACGCCTTCATTTCTTCCCAACTGTAACAACTGAACTGACTAACCACGCTTTACTTTAACTGTCTGCATTCGGTAAGGTTACCGGTTATTTCAAGTGAAAGATAATGAGAAATATTATTTTAACATCATATTTTAAAATGATACTCTCCTACTTTGTTTTTAAAGTAAAGGCTTAAATAGTATTTTCGTCACGGAAGTTATTGAGATTTTAAAATTTGTTTTTTGAATTTCTTTTGTGTAGGTTCTCATATGTCTATTTTTTTTGTTAGTGTTAGTTCTTGTAGTTTATATTATGTTAAAACAAATGAGGTGATAGACGGAAATAACTTGACATTTGATTTGTCATTTTTTTATTCTTTTCATTAACATACGTGGATATTATGATTTTCTCCCAAAATAGACTATCAAAATTCATTTTCACTTTTTTATTTTAGTCCCTGAAAATTAGGGTTACAGAAAAGGAAATAGTAGAGCTTAGGGAAGGTGAAGGTGTTTGATACAAAGATTGCTCTAGGTGAGGCGATTGTGGTTGACGAAGCTAAATTCGTGATTGAGCAAGACAATCGATAGCTTCAGGTATGATATTTACTGTGAATATTCATTATGGGGGAAAACTTGTTAGGGACAATGTCGTATACTACCTAGGTGGGATGAACATGCAGTAGACATTAACCCTAATAGGTGGAGTTTCTTTGAAGCAGCTGGTATTATGAAAGAACTTTGCAATCTTGAGTACTCGGATTATTGGTTATGATGATATAACATTATTTCGGGTAAGCATAAAAGAATGGTTAGTGATAGTGATGCTAATGAGGTTTATGGAATAGTTGTTGAATTGAGTTGTAGTGTGGACTTATATGTTGAGTATAGATTAGTTTATGATAATGATGATGATCTGGACAGGGTATGCACTTGCCCCGCGGTTGGGAGGCCAAATCTAACACCCTTGTATAAGGCCCAAAGGAAAGCAACCCAAACTAGGGACCGTTGGAAAACTCCTCAAGCATTCATTAGGGAACGTGACCTACGTGTCTGTATCACTGTCACCTTAACTACCCTCCGGAAATCACGGGTCCAACCTCTATTCTCATGGAGCAGTTGACCAGGGGGGAGTCCACTTGTTGGACTCCATACACAAGTAACCCCTGGCAGTCTTCATTGTTGGGCTTCATCGTGGCCCAACATTGAGGATCTTGGCCCAACATTGATGACTATAAATATCCTCTCAGTTGAGAGGGTCAGGTATTCATTCTCATACTCATACTCACACTTACTTGCACTCTCTTTGAAACTTACTTTGGCATCGGAGTGTCTTGCAGGTACCCCCCCCCCCCCATCTTGCTTTCAACTCCAGCTCAATGTAAGGCCTTGACGATCACTCTGGTCAGGTACAATCAGTGGCGCCGTCTGTGGGAAATTAGCTTCACCGTCTTCATTTACCTAAGACAAAAGCAACTCCAAATTCTTGATTGTCATGGATGACCCAGCTTCCAACAACATCTTAGACACCCATATCGTCAACCCCATCACCAACATCGTCGACAACGTGGGCAACAATAACAACAACGAAAACGACGACGACATGGACGATCTCATGCAAAATTACCGAGATGGCATGACTGCCTCTTCCTCGTCACGCTCTCGACCAAACGAGGGCGCTCATTCTCCCCAAAACTACGAGCCGAACGCTTTCCAGAAGGTCCCTCCGGGCGCGAATGCCATGACAAGGGCCCTGTTTGCAGCCATAAACCAGATAAACTACATGATCTTCTCGCAAGGCGAGTGATAAGGGCGCTCGAAGACTCTTGTCGAGCCCCCAGAAGATATAGAAGACCTAACACTCCACCTCCTCATTAGGATTAAGACCGTCTTCAATCTCCACGGTAGAGACACAAACAGGACAAGTCGCGAAGCCTCTCTCCCCGATGAACTGACCGACGCCCCACGCTGGAGAGAACCATGCCCGAGGCTACCAGAAGATGCGGCCTCACCCCCCCCCCCCCCCTCCTAACATAGGGAACAATGATCCCCTGAAAACAGAAACATGGGTAATGTAGAAACACATCCTCGATCAAGGGATCCTCCCCGAGGCCAAGGACATCGCTATGACCGACACTACAACCGGTCCCCTTCCCACTCTCCATATAGGAGCGATGAAGACAACCCCCGCGGTCCCTTATCGCAGGAAATCATAGAGGTGCCCATTCCCAGGGGCATGGAAAAACCTCCTCAACTTAAGGGGTATGATGGCATTGCTGACCCAATCAACCACATCGATGGGTTCGAAACAATGCTCCATTATCATAACATCGCGGGGCCAATCAAGTGTTGGTTGTTCCCCACGACCTTGAGGAAAACTGCAATGGAATGGTATAAAAATCTCCCCCAGGGGTCGATTACCTCCTGGAGGAATCTGAAGAACCAGTTCATCAGCTCCTTTACAGCGTCTCGTGAACACCCTAAGACTGAGACCGTCCTTGAGGATATCGTCCAAAGAAGCGTCGAAACCCTCAGGGAGTTTATTGATCAGTTCAACCGCGAGGCCATTCAGGTCCCATGCACCGATCACACGAAAAGATATTTGCTCGAAAGAGGACTCCTCCCAGGCACAGAGTTCAGGAAGGTTGTTGGCATCGAACCTCCCCGGGACTTTTGATGCTCTCCTCGAGAAAGCTAGGGCCTATATGGACTACAAGGAGAGGGAAGCGGCCAACAGAGCTCGCGACCCAAGGAATCTTGGATCGACCAACAGTCAGTGACACCATGACACAATCCCTCTGTAAGTGTTTGTTGGCAACAAATTTGGTAAAACAATGACTTGATAATGTTTTTCTAAATGTCTTAACATTTGAAGCAAAACTATTTTGAATGATGTCAAAGCAGATATCTTGACATCTGCCTCCTGAACTGGCTCAGTCCAATATCAGTTTAAGTTTTATGTTTCCTGATATCCTGCACACTATAATTCAGGATTTGTGACTCATAGGCTGTGGAAAATATGGAGAAATATTTTTCTATTTGAATTATCTTTATGGATTATATCTTGGCCTATTTTCATGGAAATATTCAAAAGATTTGAATATTTGTTTTTCAGCCCAAGCCCACTGTTGCGCATATATAAGGACCTGCTTCCTTATTCAGACTACTGCAACTTTTGAAGAAGAATACTTTCTTTCTATTTTAGAAGTCTAAGTATTTTAATTGTCAAACACTCTAGTATTGATTTAATACTTGTGTTGTTATTTGGATTGTTATTTATGTATCATTTATAAGCTTTTAAGTATTGAATGATTGAAGTTTTTAAACTAATTATTTATGTTATTTCTTCACTGTAAGTGATTGAAGGGATTTGAGGAGTGCCTCATACCTAGGCGAGTCTTAGGTTGAAGTATAGCACGAGTAGTGATTAAGTGATTAGTCATAAACTAGTTGTTTACTGAGGGTCTATGAATTGAGACTATTTAGTGGACTTGTTCCTGACTTGGTAGCCCCCAGAGTAGATGTTGTTATACACTGAACTGGGTTAAAAATCCCTTGTGTTTTTACTGAATTTATTATTGTTGCACTTTACTTTGTTCCTCAGATATTTGTGTCGTGACATCTCATTTGACATCACATATCTGATACCATAATTTCAATTGGTATCAGAGCAGGCATCCTGCTCTTTATCTGGGTGAGATCTAGGGAAGATACTTTCTGGTACTATAGACAAGGAAGGAGGATTTATGAACAGACCATCCATTCTGGATGGAAGTAATTATGACTACTGGAAACCACGTATGGTTTCCTTTTTAAAGTCCTTGGACAGCAAGGCTTGGAAAGTTGTTTTAAAAGGATGGAAACACCCTGTCAAATTTGGAGAAAATGGAGAACCTGCTTCTGAGTTAAAACTAGAAGAAGATTGGTCTAAAGAAGAAGATGAAATTGCTCTTGGAAATTCTAAAGCCTTGAATTCCATATTCAATGGAATTGACAAGAACATTTTCATATTAGTGAACACATGTGAAGTAGCTAAGGATGCATGGGGAATTCTTCAATCTAATCATGAAGGCACATCCAAAGCTAAGATGTCAAGACTTCGGTTACTCACCACAAAATTTGAGAATTTGAGAATGAAGGATGATGAAAGTATTAATGACTTCCATATGGATATTCTTGAAATTGCTAATGCATCCAGTGCTTTAGGAGAGAAAATACCTGAAGACAAATTGGTGAGAAAGATGCTCAGGTCTCTTCCCAAGAGATTTGATATGAAAGTGAATGCTATAGAAGAAGCTCAAGACATTGACAAAATTAAAGTGGATGAACTTGTTGGATCCCTTATAACATTTGAATTAAGCATCAATGGAATATTTGAAAAGAAGAACAAAACCATAGCCTTTGTATCAAATATTGAAGATGAAGAGGAAGACTGTGATCTGGATACAGATGGAGGAATATGAAATGCCCTAGCTATACTTGGAAGACAGTTTAACAAAGTTATAAAAAGAATGGATAGGAACCAAAGATCATATATCAAGAACATCTCATCTGACATTCATAAGTCAAATGAGTTTGGAAGAAAAAGGGCTGAAGAAAAATCTACTCAAGGGAAGGGAGTACAATGTCATGAATGTGAAGGCTTTGGTCACATTAGAGATGAATGTCCTACATATCTTAAGAAACAAAAGAAAAATATATTTGTTACTTGGTCTGAAGAGGATTCAGAGAGTGATCTTGAAGAATCTGCCAAGTATGTTAAAGCATTGACATGGAAATATGTATCTGATGAAGAATCTAGTAATGGGGAATTAACCTTTGATGAGTTAGTTTCTTCATACAAAGAATTGTGTCTCAAAAGTACATAAGTGTTCCTTGAAGGGGAGAAACAAAAAGTCGTCATAACTCAGCTGAAGGCGGAAAGGAAAGAGAATTTAAAAACTATTTCTAAATTGGAAAGTGAAGTGACCTCCTTGAATTCAAACCTTGATAAAATGGTAAAATCTCTCAAAATGTTGAATAATGGGTCTAA